GGGAACAGGCTAGTTCGTACTACGGTTATTCGTCTCCCTGACAATTCGTCCTCAACAATTCGTCCCCGTATGATTCGTCCCTGCATAATTTGTCCCCGGCTACTTTGTCCCCTATTCCAATTAGTACCCGGATGACTTGTTACTTTCATTTAATTAGTCTGCACAGAAATTGTGCCCACAGGCACGAGTGAAGTCAACGATGCGCTCCTCTTCTTTGTACTGCGCATACCAGAGGACCAGAGGACGAATATAGGACTATAGGAATATAAGGAATATAAGACTCTTCGACCAGACGCCCCGGACGACACACGCTCAGCCTTGAGCCGAGCTCGGCTACCATTCATCACTGATTGATACCCTACACCCGGTGAGGTGTTCAATAGTGCTCGAGGAGCACCTGATTTACGCTCGTCGTTTGACGTTTTGAAAGTCACTCATGTCACATGTCGGCGGGGGTCGCTAGGGTTATCAAGGGGCGTTTTGGGCCTATCGCCCCTGTCCACGGCGCCTTACGGGCCTAGTCAGTAGGCAACCCACCCGCACTCGTGCGTGCGGGCACAGCAAATCTACGGAAGTGAGTGGGGTTAATCGGCCACCTGGTACGTGTACAGGCGCGTATTAGGGGGGTGGGGGCGATCGCCCCCCTATCGGCCCTAGATAGCCGCCTGAAAGGTTGGCAATTTGATATCCAAAGTCCCTGATTGTAGGTAACTTGCCCTACGCCCCTTCCCCTCCCCCCATATCAGCTGCCCCTTACTACGCCCCTGGGCTGCACAAAATTCTGCAAGTCTGCTGCACAACACAATGCATAAGAATCAGAGTTGAAGATAAGTGTAAGATAAGCGAGTGTTCTTTTGATAGGGCTTCACTGGGAGACGAATGCAGCCGTGAGCAACCCCGCTTGTTGAACTGCTGAATGTCACATACGAACGGAGACGGCATACTTCGCGCGAAATTTGAAACGCGAGAGCGGCAATGCGCCCGGGCCAATAAAGGGTGACAATATGCCACACTGTGGCCTCTCGGCTGATGGATAAGCGCGATCTCAGACTGACATTGAAAAAGCTTTTCGGCCGGGATGATGGCACGAACGATGGGACGAAAAAAAATGACGAATCAGGGACAAATTCTTAAATTTGAGGACAAGACATCTTCGGACGAATAAAAAATTTGACAAAATAGCTGAGGACGAAATAACTGGGTACGAGTCCTCACGGGGACGAATTGCGAGGGGACGAATCGCCATGGAGCCGGGCGGGACGATTCCGACTTCGGATGACGCATGACGTTCGTTCGCACTCCCACCCAAAACGTGCCGCGTGGCCCGAGGAGCTGCTCTCTGCGCTGCCGCTGCCCTCTGCACCGGGCGACACCCGCCGTCTTCTTTTCCCACAATCAGGAGAGACAAACGCGGCCGCTGACAGAGAGTGTCCGGCGGAACAGAGGAAGTTTCCCCCTTCTCCCCCCCTCCCCCCTCAGATGCATTTTTTTCTGGGTAGAGAGACGACAGGTCTAGTATATAGTCTCTGAATTTGTGTGGCGTAGGTTGGGGGATGAAGGCACACCCCCACCCCTTTCCGACGGCATGTCACCTGCAACTGCCTGCAACCTGCAACGAGGTGGCTGATTCACGTCGCACACTTTCGTGGTTATACTGTACCGCATTCACGAGTGCGGGTGGGCTGCCTACTCGCACGGGGTCATATGGGGAGCCGTGGGCAGCGAGCATAGGCAAACCCACCCGCACTAGTGCATATGCCGCACAGTGTGTATAACTTACGAAGGTGCGCGGCGTGAATCAGCCCCACCTGGTAGGTGGACTTCAACCCCGAGCCACTTCAGCGCCCTGACCAGACCACCGCGCGACCGCGCCCCACTCGCTCCATCATCTGAGACTTTTATGCGGTGAAAGGGGCGGCGGCAGGAAGGGGAGGGCCGCGCGGGCGTGGCGCTCGGTGCTCGGGGCGTCCATCGGCTGCTCCGGGGCCACTCCACTCCTCGCCCAGCCCACCGCGCCCCGCGCCCCGCCCCGCCGCGCCCCGCGCGTCCGCGCCGTGGACAGGACGACGACGCGCGGCAGGGCAGCGCAGCACCGTTGTGACTTTCATGACGGCGAAAGCGTCGGCGGCCACGTTACATCAGTGTGACATCACGAGAGGGGGAGCGGGGGCCGAGTGGGGGAGGGGAGGTGGGGGCGTTATGTGATTCGTGTGCCCGCCCGCCGAGCCCGGCTTAATCCATACAGGGGGTAGAAACGGAGCGCTCAGGCCGCACACCATGCGCGTCCCCGGCCGCGCGCCAGCCGGTCGAGCACACGC